GCATCTGGAGAGGCTGAGGAGGGTCTGGGAGAGGGGGTAAAGGAGGCTTGGGGGGAGGGGAAGATAGGAGGGAAGAGGGTTAATAGGAGGCCTGCGGAACCGGGAAATAGGGAGGTGGGAATGGGGAGATGGTGCGGTTTTAATGGTGGGTACAGAGAAATTTTGGGTAGCAGGATTGGGCTGGGAGAGGCTGCGGGAGGAAGGGGAGTAACGATGGGCTGAGATGGGGGGCTGACGGTGAGGTGTGGGGGATGAGGGAGGGCTGAGGGCGGGACTGGGATAATGGCTGAGGCTGGAATTGGGGTGATGGCTTGCAGGGGAAGCAGCCCTCCCCTCTTGGCCCCCCCTTCCTTGGGTGGCCTGACATTCCTCACGCGGAGCCCGCTCCCAGCATCCCTTTTCCTGTTCCCCAGGATGGGAATCCATGGCCTGGCCAAGCTCATTGCCGACGTGGCCCCTGGGGCCATCCGGGAGAACGACATCAAGTCGTACTTCGGGCGGAAGGTGGCCATTGACGCCTCCATGAGCATCTACCAGTTCCTGATCGCTGTGCGCCAGGGTGCCGACACGCTCCACAACGACGAGGGTGACACCACCAGCCACCTCATGGGCATGTTCTACCGCACCATCCGCATGGTGGAGAATGGCATCAAGCCTGTGTACGTATTTGATGGGAAGCCCCCGCAGCTGAAATCGGGGGAGCTGGCCAAGCGCACGGAGCGCCGGGCCGAGGCGGAGAAGCAGCTGCAGGAAGCGCAGGAGGCCGGCGAGGAGGAGAATGTTGAGAAGTACAGCAAGAGGCTGGTCAAGGTGACCCCGCAGCACACCCAGGAGTGCAAGAAGCTGCTGGAGCTGATGGGGATTCCCTACGTGGAGGCGCCCGGAGAGGCAGAAGCTAGCTGTGCCGTGCTGGTGAAGGCCGGGAAGGTGTACGCAGCAGCCACGGAGGACATGGACTGCCTGACCTTCGGCAGCCCCGTGCTCATGCGGCACCTCACGGCCAGCGAGAACAAGAAGCTGCCCATCCAGGAGTTTCACCTGAACCGGATCCTGCAGGACCTGCAGCTCACCTGGGAGCAGTTTGTGGACCTGTGCATCCTGCTGGGCTGCGACTACTGCGCCAGCATCCGCGGCATTGGGCCCAAGCGCGCCGTGGAGCTCATCCGGGAGCACAAGTCCATCGAGAGGATCGTGCGGCAGCTTGACACCAAGAAGTACCCGCTACCCGAGAACTGGCCGCACAAGGAGGCTCAGAAGCTCTTCCTGGAGCCCGAGGTGGTGGATCCTGACACTGTGGAGCTGAAGTGGAGTGAGCCGGATGAGGAGCAGCTTGTGCAGTTCATGTGTGGGGAGAAGCAGTTCAGCGAGGAGCGGATCCGCAATGGCGTGAGGAGGCTGAGCAAGAGCCGCCAGGGCAGCACCCAGGGCCGCCTGGATGACTTCTTCAAGGTCACCGGTTCCATCAGCTCAGCCAAGCGGAAGGAGCCCGAGCCCAAGGGATCAGCCAGGAAGAAAGCCAAGCCCAGCTCAAAGCCTAGCACCACTGCAAAGACTAAAAAGTAGAAATGATGGGGTCAGGTGCCCACAAACCGCTGGGATTGGGGGTTTTTGGGGGGCTTTTTTTTTTTAGAGAGTTTTAGGCTAACAACAAGCATTTAGTGCTAGGAAGGAGTGGAGGAGGCTGGGAGAGGGGAGAGCTGGAACAGCTTCTGGGCATAAACGCTTCCAGAGTTAAGAATTCCAGCTGCAGAGCAAACCAGGGATGAATTAGATTAGCCCTATCCCTGCCATCCCAAAAGAGGTACGATGGGAGTGGAAGGCAAGCTGGAATTGGTAAGGAGGCTTCAAATAATGAGGTAAAATTTTTCCTTTGATGGGAGTTTATTTAGGTTTTTCTTTCTCGTATTCACTTTCCTTATTTAAAATCCAGTTGTAATCCCAATTCCAGCCAAGTCCTGGCCTGCTCTTAGTACACAATCCGAGGAAAGCTGGGTCTAGGCTGCAGCTCTCCCAGCCTGAATCTTGCTTAAAAATGTTTAAAAATAAAATTATCCAAGAGCCTAGAAAAGCAGCCTCTTCACTCCCTGAATTCCAGAGGCGTCATTCTGGTTGTGCACACTGACAGAAAAATTTCCAGGGCTGGAAATTAAAAGCTACAACTTCTTTTTATTTCTTATTTAATGCTGCATTTTCTGTAGTTTTGTTACTTGTTGGAGCCACGTGCAGGGTTTTGTTTCTGGAATAAAATGCAAGAGCAAAGACGCTGTTTCTCTTTTTTTCCAGAGGGATGGCTTAAACCATGGTTTTAAATGAAAAAATCCCAGTTTTACATGGAATTCCAAAACAGCAACAAACGAAGCACAGGTAGGAGCACAGAAAGTTCCAGTTTTAAGCTTTTTAGATACTTTGTAGACATCAAAATTCCATGGGTTTGCTCTCTGCCAATTTGGAAAAGAAGCTGCACTTGTTTTGCAGGGAAATTAAGACTTATTCCGTATTTCTTATCCATTAACTGCTAAAACTGGGATTTTGTTTCCTTGCTGTGGGTTCTCTTGAATGGTTCATTCCACAGTTTGTCCTAACAGGATTTTTTTAATTAAATATTCCTCTTTTATCTCCAAATATCTTCATGGTTAGTGTGTTGGAAGGTACAGGAATCGTTTTATGGTGGGGGGGTGAAAGATGATTTAGAAGTAATAATATTTGCAAATAACATCCCTAAATTGTTTGTTTTCCATATATCATAGTTTCTAGGAATTACCTTCCAGTTTTCCAAGTTGTCAGCACCTTGTTGGGATGAATCCTTGGAGAGGAACTTAAAAGCTGCTTTTCCACCACCCTCTCCCTGCCTTGTGCTTTGTGGTATTTCACTCCATTTTTCCTCCATTTCCCATTCCAAACAAAGATTCCCACTGTTTCTGACACTGATATTAATTAATTCCAGTGTTATTAACTATTAAGTAAGTATTAATTAATTCCAGTAGCACTGTTTATACCAGGAGCAAGCGGTGTAGGAAGCCAGGGGTCCAAGAGGGCACAGCTACTGGGAAGAAAGGAACCCTATCCCAGTAAAACCAGGCCAGTGGGAGCACTCAGCATCTGGGGAAGATCCCAATTTATTTAGCATAGAGAAACCTCCGAAGTCTTTGAGCTGCTGCCACGAACTTCATCCCAATCCTCGACAGACATCTCCAGAGAGCTCCCTGGAGATAGGCATGCTCTAGCTTCCTTTCCCGCTGGAGGATCTTGTCCAGCATCGCTCGGAGAGTTTTCTCGTATGGCGCCACCGCGGTGCCCCAGGAGCCATGGATTGGGCACTGCCGGCCCTGGGACACTTCCCGCTGGGCCACCTGCTGCTGGGAAGGCTTTGCTGGAGTGGCCCTGGCTCCCAGTTCTATTCCCAGGCTTTTCCAGGCTGGGTGGGTTCTGTTGATTCCCATGGCTCTGAAGGAGCGGGGAGACCTGCCCACAGGGACTCCTCCATACAGAGTCACACAGGGGCTCTGGAAGGGATGGAGGCTTCTGCCAGGAGTGTTGGACATGCGGGTATATTCCTTATCCTGCTCCTTCACAGCCAGCTCCAGAGAGTGCTCTGGAGATGGGAACACGTTCCTTTCCCGCTGGAGGATTTTATCCAGCACTGCATGGACGGTCTTCTCATATGGCACCACCGCAGCTGCCAGGGAGCCGTGGGCTGGGCACTGGTGTCTTGAGGACACCTCCTGCTGTGCCACCTGCTCCTGGGAGCGCCTCACTGGAATGGGCTGGGCTCCTAGTTTTAATTCCAGGTTTTTTCTGGCCATGTGCATCGTCAAGCCTGGGCAGGTTCTGCCGATTCTCACAGCTCTGGGGCACTGTGGGCTGTCTGTGTCGGCTCCTCCACCTGGAATCTGGCAGGAATCACCGAGGCTCTGGGAGGGAATGGAGCCTCTTGGAGCCGAGGTTCTTGGAATGACAGAGGATCTCCGGCGGCACCGGGTTCTGGGATGGGCTGAGGCTCTTGCGGATGCTTTCCGACGGATGGAGGCTCTGCTGGCAGGAAGGGGGCTGCCGGAGCGAGGAGGGCTCCCAGAGGAGCTGGACGAGCCGCAGCAGGACAGGTGGCCTTGCTCCACCAGCTTCTCCAGATCCTCCCACAATGCCTGGCATGCCCTGGAATCCAGCAGGAAGGGCTCCCTGGTCCACTCGGGCGTCACCACATCCTGCAGCTCGTGGGACGCTGTGGCACAGGGGGAGCAGGTGGGGCCACATCCACATGGGATGTACAGGGAGCTCCCAGGAGCTTCTGGGCATTGGGCAGGGGTCACCTGAGCTGGGGGGGATCTGGGCCGCACTTGGCTGCTCCAGGAGTCCCTGGCCTGGCTCCCGGGGCGCTTCCATGTGTCAGGTGTCACCAGCGGCCGTTGCCAAAGGCGAGTGGCCAAGGGGATGGCCACAGTGGCCACCAGCAGAAGCAGCACAGAGAGCAGGACGCTGCCATCGCTCATGGCTCCCCACATCCCATTGGGACCATGCTGGGAGGCAGGGGGGGATGACTCCCGGGGTTACCTGGTGTCAGTGCAGTGATGTCACAGCTGTGTGGGTGGGAACACCTGTGTGGTGTCACAGCCCTGTTGGTGATGTCACAGCCCCAGGGCATCCCCGAGAAAGGGGCTCCCGGCAGGCACTGGAGGCCCCTCTGGAGCAGAGCGGGCATAAGATTCTCAGCTGGATATGACCCAGTGCAGAGGAGGAGGAGGACAGTGTCACCTCCTGGCTGGTGGAGCAGTGGGCATGGATTGTCCCATGGAACACTGCATGATACACTTGAGGAAGGAGCAACAACCAAACTGACCATGTGTGATCCACATCATTCCCATCCTGGGTCCAAACCCAGCGCTGGGCCAGCTCCTGGTAAGAAAAGGAACCCCCTGAGTCCTACTAAAAGCAAACAACCAAACCACTGGGGGGGGATAGTAAAAGTGTTTTCTCTGGAGGGTGTTGGTGATGGAGACCTGCACCGGGATGTGGGGTGTGTGAGGGGAAAAGGGACACCTTATGGGGCACAGCCTGGAATGTTGTCTCCATGGGAACACCTGCCCTGCCACACCTCTGCCGGTGCTGCCGCACGGTGCCTGCCATCTGATCTGTGAGGTGATGGAAGCAGCTGGAGGGTGTCACTGTCACCATGGGTTGAGGAAGGGAGAGTCCTGTCTAACTGGTTTGATGTCCTGGGTAAGATCCCCCATCCCAGAGATGATGGAAGGTGGTGGATGTTGTTTTTCGGGGTGTCAGGAAGAGTCCGGATTCGGTCCCTCCCAGCTCCTTCTGGAGACGGTGTCCATGGAATCCTAGAATGGTTGGGGCTGGAAGGCACCTTGGAAGGGCCCATGTGGGAGATGAGCAGGTCCAGGCTGAAGGAGTGTCTGAGCAGGGCTCAGTAGGAGTACGGAATGGGGCTCCACGTGCCTGGAGAGCAGTTGGGACCAAAATGGGAGGTGCTGGTGACTCCCAGCCAGGGATCAGAGTCCTAGAATCAGGTTTGGAATGGTTCTCTCCATCCCCAGCTGCAACCTTTGGGATCTCAGGCTCCCACCTCCAGATTTCCAGGGGGAAGGAAATCCAACTGGTGGCCTCAGGCTGATCCTGATTGGGATTGTAATAATCAAACCACATGAATTGCACCTGATTAATGCACTTAATGCTTGTGTGGAGATCAGATTTAATTGAACTGAAGTGTACAAATGTGGCCAGAGGAACAACCCAGTGGGTACAGGGGAAGACCGGGAAAGGCTTTGCTGACACACAGGGTGGGAATGACGCTCCAGTGTTTGGGTGAGACTGGATTTGTGTGGGATGGGAAAGAGAAGGAGGGAAGACAAAAGGGATCTGAGCCCTTTTTTCCCCCAGCCACGCACGCACACACACACACACGCGCGCGCGCACACACACATACACACGCGCGCACACACACATACACACACACACACACACATAGACAGAGGGACACACTGGAATGGCACTTTATTGCTCCATGGTGGGATCCAGGGTCTCTTGGTGGCTTCAATAGGTGCTGAAGATGGCCTGGATGTGCTCCCCGAAGTGTGGTTTGTAGGTTCCGACCCCTGTGGCAGAGGGACATGTGAGGCTGGGACATGGAGACCCCCAGCATGACCCCCCACCTTCCCTGACTGCCCACCTTGATCCAAAGGTTTCCCAGAGCTGAGGAACTGCCAGTAGGTCCTGTCATTGCCACTGGCAGCCAGCCCATGGATGGAGACCACCATGGGACCCCAGAATGTCTGCTCCGTCTTGAAGCTGCCAGGGAGGTGAGTGGGCTCAGGGCTGGGTGAGGAGATACCAAATCCCACCTCTCTGGCTCCTCTGGCTCTCACCTAAAGTTTTCGGGATCCTTCTTCTCTGCCCTCTCCAGCACCTCGAGCAGTGTGGAGTCACCTGCGACCATCACCGAGATGTTGTAGTGGAAGGGGGTTCCCTGGAGTTTGTTGATGATGGAGTAGTGCACTGTGATGTCCTGGGACAACTGTGGGATCTGGAAGGCTCCAGGTGGGATCATCATACCTCTGGGAACCCTGTGTGTCCCCAGGCTTGGGCAGAGATCCGTGGGGG